TGTTCATCCAATTGTCCGACTGAGATCAACTTTGTCTTCAGTCTTGGAATCACCCTGACATTTTGTAAGCTCCAAGTAGTTCCAAATGAAGTTTTTAGATCAATATCTCCCATGCCTGTCACTTTAAGGATTTTCCCGTTACCCAACTTTACCTTTCCAAAGTCTCCCTTTTTGAGATTCACCATCGCCTCACCGCTGTGCATGGCGTGAAACGAAGCACCAGAATCCATGACCCAAGAGTCAACATAGCTTTCCATGCTGAGTATCAATGCATCACTATCATCATCAGATGCATTCCCAACAACTGCGCTAATTTCGTTTTTCTTGTTTGGGCATTGACTCTTGACATGCCCAACTTCTTTGCAGACCCAGCACACCACATTCTTTCCAGCCTTAGACGAGCTCTTCCCACGACTCCCACTGTTTCTGTTATTACCTCTTCCCCTGCTAACACTGAGTAACCCAGAAGTAAATCCTCCACTAGCGTTCCTCCGACGAATGTCTTCACCCAAAACACTATCCCGTATCCGATCAAACTTCAAGTTTCCTGTCCAGCAGTTTCAGTAACCGTTGTCACAAATCCCGACCAACTATCAGGCAAAGAAGATAACAGAATCACAACCTGAGTGTCATCATCGAACTTCATGCCTACTGATGACAACCTTGACAAGATCGAATTGACCTCATTAATGTGATCAGCAACTGGGCTGCCCTCGTTCATTCTCATCATGAACAATTTCCTCATCAAGAACACTCTATTACCGGCCGACGGTTTCTCATACATATTTGACAGAGCTGTTAACATACCACGAGCAGTTGTTTCCTTCATGATATTAAACGCCACACTCCTCGTCAAAGCTAGTGTAATTTTACCTCTTGCCTTTTTGTCCTTTGAGTCCCAAATTGCTTCAGCAGCCTTTACCATTCCATCCAGTTTCTCTTCCAGTACCATGTCCAAATCGCACTCACCAAGCAACGCCTCTATTTGCATTTTCCACCATGCAAAATCAGTACCGTTGAACTTCTCGATTCGAACCCTCCCGTCCTCGGCCATGGCAAAACGAGAGAAAAAAAAACTAGAGAAAAAAATCAAGGAATAACGGCCTGAAACCAAGCAACCTTCAAAAGAAAACAAACCCTAAAACAAAGAACCCGAACCAACGAGTACCAGGTCCAAAACCAGAAACCCTAATCGCCAAGTTCACCTAAAACCGACCGAGCAGCCCCTGACCAGATTTGAACCAGCCTCTGATCAGATCCGAACCAGCCCCTGATCAGATCTGAACCAGCCCCTTAACCGCGGCAGCAAAACAGCAGCAAAAACAATCCTGAACTTCCTGCGATTGATCCTGTGTAACCGTGTGTTTAACCAAACCAAGGCTCTGATACCACTTGTTAGGAATCAGAGATCAGAGGCGGTCAAGCGGAAGCGAACAAACACACACACACACAAATAGCAGAAAATAAGAACACGAGATTTAACGTGGTTCAGTCAGTAACCTACTCCACGGGTTGCAACTAGGGTTTATCTTTTATCAGGTGCTCACAGATTATAGTTACATGATTGGGTATTTATAAGATATAAATTAGGGTTAACAACTTGCTAAACAAGAAACAACAAATGGGCCCTTTAATTAATAACTAAAACCGGCCCCCCATATTTCTTCCCTTTAACCGACCAGGCTTAAAGCCCAAAGCTCTAAAGCCTTCACTGAATAACCCAACAGTCATATCCTCCAACTCCCATAGGGAACCTCCCATAAGTGAAATGTGTATTTTTCAGTGACCATCTGAACTTTTACCAGATTTGAGTACATGGTCGGCTATAAGCATCAGTAACAGTCTAGGAACCAATTCAACCAAAAGACCAAGCTTGTAGTTGTGACCCAAGAAAGGTTTTTATATTCCATTCTAACATGCCCCCTCACGTGCAGGCGTAGTCTTTTCAAGCCTTGCACGTGGAACCTTAATTTTTTTAAAACAGGGTAGCACTGAGTTTTGAACAAATGACCTATTAGTCAACAAGGCTCCGATAGCAAGTAAAGTAACCGATTCAACCAAAAGCTCAAGCTTGTGGTTGTGGCCCAAGAAAGGTTTTTAAATACCATTCTAACAGTAACCCCAACTTGAAGTGCACTAGAGGGTTCCAGCAGACATTCCAATTTTTTGTCAAGATCTTTGTACAAGAAGTGATTTATGTTTTTGTAATCCATAAGAAGCCTAAGGGCTTTACCTCTCATAACTATATTTTTAGGCCATTCCCATGTAGCAGCTTGCACAAGGAACTAACCATTTTGTCCTAGCTGACTTGTTGCGTGTAGCATCTTGCACTGGTTGTCCGTACTAGTTCTGCAATTGCATCAGAAGCTTCGCGTGTCCATACTAGTTCTTCTTTCTGAAGTACATCAGTTGGTGGCATCTGATCTTAACTGGTGAGAACTACAACACTACTGTCCAGACGGCATTTCGGAGGCATGGTAGGTTCTTGTTGTAGCAGGACTCTCTTACCTCCATCTATGGCAAGAGTTGGCATTGTTAGCTCCCTCTTAATTGTGGCATCCAAATCAGACATCTCAATTTGACCCTTGTCATTTTTACCTAAGACTTCTAGATACAACTTAGTTTCCTTGTGTTCCCACTGTTGACCCTTTTCAAGAGACTCCTCACTGTAGTCACACCATCCCGTAGCAATCTTTTTCTGATTTCTGCCAACAACACTATCAACAGACTCTTTTAACCCAACAAAATCCATGGAATTGTTAGAAAACCTTTTCAAAGAAACCTCTCTACTAACTGGCAGTACATGATCTACATTTAGGAGGTTTGCAGCTGAGTATGAATGGCCCGACGAAAGAAGTTTTATCTCAGTTGTAACATGAGGCTACAATTTCTCTTGCAAAGCTTTATCCATCGAAGATCCAACAGGAAAATTACTAATATCACTCAAAGATTTATCATACTTGTGTATTTGGCTTGAGTGCCCAACGTGTCTTGGTGTTATACTGTTATTGCTTGGTGAATAACCCCTGACTTGTGACCAGCCTCACTACTGACTCTTGAACACACATCTTGTCTATCATCTTTAAATTGGCATACAAATCCTTAATAATTCCTCCCAATCTTCATTAGGTCTAGCTTTTCCATAACTATCAAACCATAGCCTAGGCTTTCCCACCAAATGAATAGAAGCTAGAGCCACTTTCTCTGTCAATGTTCTCTCCATCTTGTTATTAAAAATAAATTTTAAATAATAATAATAATCATCATCATAAATAAAATAAATGTAAAAAAAGTAAAATAAATAATGATTATAAAAAATAACAAAAAAACACTCCGTAATTATAAATTAAAAAATAAAATATCATAATAATAATAAAAGTATTAAATAAAAAAAATTATAATTAAAAATAAAAAATAAAATATAAATTACAAATAATTAAGTAAATAAATAAACGGATCAATTCTTTTGACAACAACTTTTGTTATCATAATATAACAACACCTACGATGCTCTGTTCAAAAAATTAATGGTTCTTGCCCCCACCCCAGTACACCCCTGCCCCCTCCCGAAAATGCTGACAGTGTCATTATAGCCAATTGGCATTTTTGGGGAGGGGGGAGGGGGGCTAGGAACCATCATTTTTCGAATGGAGCACTGTAGGCAATTAAAACAAAAGTTGTCGAAAGAACCGAGCCAATAAATAAGTAATGATAATGATAATAATATATCCAAATCAGCGATTTAGCGGGCGGGGTGCAGGGTGGGTAGGAACCATCACTTTTACCAACGAAGCACCATAGGTGCCCGTATTGGTAATAATAATAGTTATAGTCTTAATAATTATTATTGATATTATTTTTATAGTTAATAATAATATTATTATTATTATTAATAAAAATAAATAAATAAATAAATGAAATTAATAAAAAAAATATTATATGAAAAATAAAAATTAATGATTTCCTTCCCCTTTTCCAACTAAAAAAAGGTTAAGGGAAGCCTTCCCATCCTTTTCTTCCCCTCCCTGTTCTCCCAACCAAACAAGCCCTTAGGCTATAATAACTATAGCAGGGCTGCATCATTTATTCTTCCACTTAGAGAGGGAATGTATCATTGGCTCTTTTAGTATGATATTCAGTTTGTATCCACTAGTTAATTAACATTTTTGTTGTTCCTTTTGCAGCGAAGCTGTTAGCTGTTCGGACTGCAAAGGTAACCAAATATTCCCTGTCTCTAAATTTTCATCATATTTTCCTTTTTCATCCATCCCTAAATTATCACTCACTTCCTTTCAAACAATGCAATGTGGTTTTTTCTTTTTTAAATAAATCTCAGCCACACAAGTTTCATTTCCCTAAATCCCTTGTCTGATCAAAGTGGGTAATAATTTATGGATAGAGTATAACATATTAACATTTCTTTAAAGAATGCTCTGTGCCTTAAACAATTAAATAGAGAAGCAAGTAGTTTCTCACTATGAGATTGGCATGATGTTACCTGAATTAGAAACCCAGGGGTTTAGCTGCAGTAGGTTAGGATATTTTTCTTTGATCACTTGGGAGTAGGCTTTTATGCCTTGTATAGTTCTTGCAGTGTAGTACCAAAGCAAATTTGATGCTGTTCAGCTGTTATAGTATGTGCTCAAATATAATTATTCGAAGTCTGTAACACTTACCTGGGTCTCTCTGGAGTCTGAATCCTGAAGGTTGCTTCTACAGCGGCCCATAATCACCACCTTAATCCCAACTAGGTTTTAATTAGTGGCTTGAGTTTTATAGTGTCTAACTGTCTATTAAATGTTTAAATGATTTAAAACTCTAAATTCATGCATAAAGCCGTTATGTTCTTGTGCACAATTCTACGTCACAAGACGTTCCATGGGATGGAGGGTTGGCTGAGAGGATATTTTCCCAATGGGTTTGGTGCCTTGTTGTTGATCTACTGTTGTTGATCCAACCAGTTCAGTTTAGATTTTCACTTTTTTATATTTTCAAAATGGTCATAACTCTAAATCAGTAACTCAGATTCTTTCTTACGATGTACAGATGGATTTATGTCTTCAAGACCTATCCAACGAATGTTGATTTGTTTATAGAATATTGACTTTAATAATTTCCTAAATTTGTTTGATATTCACAATCTATCTCATTAGTATATAAATACATTTCAGTTTTACCAAATTTCAATTTTCAGTTTTAAACCAATGGGGAAGGGGGTCTAGTTATAACACATTTAAGGTATTTTCCTTAATTTTTATTACTTTCCAACATCTCATAGTTAACAATTGTCCAATCAGCATTTGAATTTGCCACGTATTTAGTTGAGTTGGCAACCTGCATTAATTGAGTTGAGTTGCCACACATTAATAAAGGTGTAAAAAGTAATTTCTAAGAGCGTCAATTTTTGAACATTGGAGTATTAACATAAAATCGATCATTTCTTGGAGTGCTCATGTGAATTTTTCCTAATAATAATAATAATAATAGTAATAGTAATAATAATAATAATGTTAATAATGATAATAATAATATGTGTGGTTATGAATGGTCTAGTAACAATGTTTGTTAGGAGGTTATTTTTAACTTTCCCATTCCTCTACATGTATACCCTTTAATATTTGACAACAATAATACCTCATGGCTCATACAAAATCGGCCATCTGCATGTTTTTTCAGGTTTTTTCCACAAAAGACACGTGAAAGGGTCTGGATCAGCTTTTTCATCTGAACGTATCTATACGTGCCACATGTGTATGGTTGGAAAACATCTAAAAAGCACTTCCAAGAAGGGAAATTTGGTATCAAAAAAGAATAAGAAAGCATCCAAATTATTGAGGTCTATGTGCCGAAGAACAAAGATTAGGGGTACTAGGGATAAACAACAGTCACAGTCTCAAAACAACACCAAAGTTTCTGTTGTTGTTGTTCCCTTACGTCGTTCCGTTAGGAAAACTAAAAGTTTACAAGTGCTAGAGAAAAACGCTAACAAGAAGATTGGGTGCCCAAGGAGAAAGAAAATGAGATCAAGAAAAGGTACTTCAAAGAAACCAGTAGAAGTTCCCTGGCAGAAGAAGAGAACAAAGTTCTGTCGTATTTACTGGCTGAATGGTCTCCTGTTGTCACAGAAGCCTAATGATGATCGAGTAGAACTTTTTAGAAGAAAACAACTTCTTGTTCTTTCGGGCGAGTTGGGTGGCACAATTGATTCACCGAAATGTGGTCTTTGTAGTGAACTTGAATCTACAACTTCCGTATATTACATTGCATGTGAATTATGTGGAGGTATGTATTCCATTTAGTTTCTGTCAATTTAAAAATTTCAATGAATCAATATTAGCACTCTTTTTTCTTCCACCCATACCATACGCCATACGCGCTATGTGATTCCTTGAATTCAATAATCAAGACTTTCAGGAAGTGTAACTTTTGTAAACTGCATTTAGCTAATGTTTAGATATCATTTGGAATGGCTTTTTACTCCCAAGGATAAGGGAGTTCCCATGAATTGAGTGTGAAACCCAAATTTGGGATCTAAAAAAAATTAAATTAGGAGCTTTCATGGGAATCTCTGATTTGTGAAATTGCAGGAATGACAAACCCTCCATATGCCACGTGTTTTCCCAAATTGCATGATATTGGATGAACTTCCATAGTTCGAAACCAGATTTTATCTTAATAGTGAGGTCGTAAAGCAACTAGGCATGCATTTACATGTTTCCCATATGCCATATTCACTTGCAAGTTGCAAGCACATATGCCCTTGAACTTTTCTTATATATGATTTGCAGATTGGTTCCATGGAGATGCATTTGGTCTTACATCTGAAAGAATTGGTAATGTAATTGGATTTAAGTGCCATAAATGTTGTAACAAGAGCGCTCCTGTTTGTGCTTTTATGTTCACAAGCAGCAGAAGGGTGGTTAAAATGGCTGATTTGAGCGATGTGAAGATTGAATATTCAAACGCGAATTCTATGGGAATGAAAGACCAGTCACATTTACAACCGAAGTATTCTTCTCTTGAAAAACATCACAATTCAGATGGTGGAGGGGAGCCTGTCATGGTGGAACAGTGGACAGAAGCAATGGATGTTGAAGTGCAGGAGGACCCAGTTTTGGCAACAAAAGGACTTTGAGAATTCTTGTAAAATAGATATTGATGTACCGGAGGATCTTGTGGTTTAGTTAACCCAGAATTATATCAAAGACAGATCGAATCACCCATGCAGAATCAACACGGCGAAATGATCATCACTGTAAGTTCATGAACCTGTGAATTGTAATGATAACCATTTTAGACAACGCAATGCCAGTTAACTAGAGAAATGAGATTGACAAAACAAAAAACTCGGCCATTTTTGGAAGCAATGCTACAAATTGATGACCGATTGCGACCCATAGGCAGGTTATAAATACTAGGAGAAGGAAGAAGGCAATCTAGGAGAGTAGATTATAATTTTGACCCAACACACATTGAGTAGTATTATACTCCGTATTAGAATTTAACCTTGTAAATCTCTTCAACTATCCATAATGTTTTTTTTTTTGAGTTGGCATTTTCTCATTAATATCTGGGATGGATTCACAGAGATGAGAGGAAATGTCTGCAAGTATGAGCGGCTCTCTTTTTTTATATTTGAACGATGGCGCAGGACACTTAGACTACACAAACTTTGAACGACACAAACAAGCATTGTTTGTGTCGCTAGATTAAAGTGTGGTGTACAAGTTAAAGTGTGGTGTACAAGTAAGTTTTTGCTTCCAATTAAGTAGGAGTCCAGTGGTAGAAAATGGGTTTTACTTTTTAACATATTGTCTCCATCCATTAATCACTCCGTATTTCCCAGAGGTTGGTTGATATTAGGCAGATATCTCATGCGGTTAATTCCCAACATTATGCTCCATATTTTGCGTCAAACACCTTGTGGTCAATCCCATAAATTAAATTAAAGAGAAGTTGAGCTTGAATTTGAAAATGACATGAGGAGAGGTGTGGATTTGTAATTAGCTTAATTCTGAATTAGAAGAATTTGATCTAAATCCAAATTTAAATTTTTTGAGTTCCCAAACTAGGAATTTGAATCAAATCCTGATTTGAAATTCAAATTCAAGCTCACAAAAACACCATAAGATTAGACCAAATCGGAAAACATTGCTCTAGTTGGAGCACTTTCAATCCTTTTGAGCCTATTTCTTATTTGGAGTATGAAGTCCCTTTGAGTCCATAACAGAAGTTCCCACTAAAGAAAAACACAGACAATAATGGAGGAGAAGGCGAAAACCAAGCTATTGTTGATCCTATACGCTCCACAGACTGGAAACGCAATCGATGCAGCCGAAAGATTGGGCCACGAAGCTGAGCGTCGAGGTTGTCTTGCACTAGTATTATTAGTCGGCGAGCATGATCCTCTATGAACCCATCTTTCCTCTTTTTATCTTGTATTTTGCTTATGAGGAGTATAATCGTTGAATTTTAACTTATAATTTAAATCACTGGCAAAATTTTGCAGGCTTCACTGCCTAATGAGGAGATGGTAGTTTTTGTTGTTTCAACTACTGGTGTGTTTGTCTTTATTTTTGCCTTGGTATACACTTAGTATACTTCAAGCGGGGTTTCCCTAGCACTCCTCTTTTTTGTAGGTGTGATTATTAATTTAATGAATTTTGTGCCACCATTCTAAAATTTAGAATTCTTAAAATTGGTGGGCCTTAAAATTTGAATTTTAAAAAAACAGTGAATAGGCGGAAGTATTAGTGCCATGAATCATTTTTGTCCCAACAATTTAAAATTCAAAAATTTCAAAAAGGGTGGAAGTATTATTGGCATGTTTAGAAATGAGAGAAAATATTCAGAGATAAGCTAGAAATATGTTTTGAATTCTATTGATCTTAATCTTAATGGTATATTTACATGGATATTAAGCCTCTATTTATAGTAGAGAAACTTAGTATGAATATAAATACAAGTGGGAAAGACGTGGGAAGGACTGTACAAAAATATTGGTCTACAATAGATGTTTTAATCTACTATCTTAGAAAGTAGGCTTGATTAATTGAATAAATAAAAAATCATTAATTTCATAACAGTCCCCTCTTGAATGTTCATTTTTCAATTGATAATGGGTACTTCGTAAAATTGGAATAGTTTATAAAACCATTCTAATTTTATGTACAGTCTCGTTAAAAACATTGTCAGAAAAAACCTAGTGGGATAAAAACTTTATCAAGGGAAAAAGAGTATGGTTCATAAAATTTTTCATCTTCAGCTTAGCATAATTGATGGAGGCGACACATGCTAATCTTTTGTAGGAGTTCTTCAAATTTCTTCGGGGGCAACACTTTTGTAAATAAATCGGCGGGGTTCTCAATGGACTTGATTTGATTGATGTCAACCTTTCCGTCTTTCTCGAGACCATGAGTTGAGAAAAACTTCGGTGCTATATGCTTGGTTCTGTCGCCTTTGGTGTAGCCTCCTTTAATTTGAGCGATGCATATTGTGTATCTTCATATATAGGAGTCGGGTGATTAGTGATTGCTTTTATACTGCATTCGCTCTGAATGTGTTAGATCATTGTTTACAACCATAAACATTCTCGACTTGCTTCACAGAGAGCTATCAACTCTGCGTGATTTGATGATGTGGCGGTCAAAGTTTGCTTCATCGATCTCCATGAAATTGTGATATCTCTATAACTAAACATGTATCCTCTTTGAGATTTTTTCCTTTTGTAGATAAGACAAATATCCTGAATCGGCGTATTTAACAAGAGTGGCCTTGACACTTTTGTGGTATAATAGACCAAGGTCATTCCAATGCAAAATGTGTTTAATGTCATTCCAATGCAAAATGTGTTTAATGTCATTCCAATGCCTCCTAGTCGGTGTCGAACTGTGTTTGGCTAACAAGTTTACTGATGATAAAATATCTGGACGAGTGTTGTTTGTTAGATACATCAAAGCCCCAATAACACACAAGTATAGGATTTCTAGACCAAGTATTTTTTCATCATCTTCACGAGGTCTGAAAGGATCATCATGCACATTGAGAGAGCGGACAACCATCAGAGATGTGAGAGGATGTGTTTTATCCATGTAAAATCGCTTCAGAACCTTCAATTTTTACATGGGCATAATGGCAAGTTCAATAATTCCATTGTAAACTTACTCTAATTTTTTTAGTTTTTTTAATTTCTTCCAAAACTTTCTAGTTTCTTCCAATTCCTTGCAGTTCTTTTCAGTTTATTCCAGTTTTTTCAGTCCTTTCGTTACTTCCAGTTCCTCCCAATTTCTTTTTGTGTGTTCCCTCTAACTGGTACAAAATCCTCCGTCAATAGTTGCCTTAAAAATGTAAATAGCCGCGTACGGACAAATGGCTCCGCTCAGCAATGGCAAACCAAAGATAAGAAAACGATCCACCACTCGCTCCCTCCACTTCTTTTCTTCTACTCTATCTCAGAAAAACTGAACGGGGGAATGGTGCTGTCTTCCTGTTTACCCGCGAATCGGACCTATACTCCGTCCTTCTCAACTACTCGGCGCTCTTCGTCTCTCAACTTTCTGCTCCCAATTCTCTCTGCTCCCCCTTCCCTAAGGCCTTCAAGGCGACGGGATAAACTTCTCTTGAGAATCAATGCGAGTGCATCAACTTCCGACTCCGGAAATGGAACCGCCGTCGCTCTTCCCGACAAACCTCCCGCCCACACTTTGGCTTACGGAAGGCGGCACTTCCCTTTAGCTGCCGTTGTCGGACAGGTATGTGTTTGTTTGAGTAGATATATATATCCATGTAAGCGCGGGATGTTCTAGCCCTGTGATGTGACATATTAATCTAGAATTCTCAATTTTGCTGCAATTCAATTAGTTAACTATAGTGGTAGACCTTTTTGGTTTTCAAGAACGGATTCCAGTGTTCTGAATCCAATGCATGATCAGGATGTCATTAAAACTGCTCTTCTACTGGGGGCTATTGACCGCGAGATTGGAGGAATTGCAATTTCTGGAAGACGTGGGACGGCAAAAACTGTGATGGCTCGTGGTTTGAATGCAATTCTTCCTCCAATTGAAATAGTTAAAGGCTCATTTGCGAATGCCGATCCTAACTGTCATGAAGAGTAAGTTTACAATGGAATTATTGAACTTGCTATTATGCCCATTATGTTGTTAAAGTTTCAGCTGTATTGCTTTGAAGTTTTAAATGCAATAAGTTCAATAAAGGTGGGAAGATGGACTTGCTGGTAGAGTGGAGTATGATTCTGCTGGAAATATCAAGACTGAGATAGTTAAATCACCATTTATTCAGGTTTTTTTTACTACTAGAATCTTTTTCATGCAGTCAGTTGTTTCTGTTGAGCATTTAGAGAATTCAGCTAGTCTTGCAGATTCCGCTCGGTGTTACAGAAGATAGATTGATTGGATCTGTTGATGTCGAGGAGTCTGTGAAATCTGGAACAACTGTTTTTCAACCTGGCCTTCTTGCTGAAGCTCATCGAGGTGTTTTATATGTTGATGAGATCAATCTACTGGATGAAGGCATTGGCAATTTACTTCTGAATGTGTTGACGGAGGGAGTTAACATTGTAGAAAGAGAAGGTATTAGCTTTCGACATCCGTGCAAACCATTGCTAATAGCTACATATAACCCTGAGGAGGGTGCTGTCCGTGAGCATTTATTGGATCGCATTGCAATTAATTTGAGGTACACCTTCCAATATTGCTTAGATAGCTACGAATTATATAGAAAATATTCCTGCTCCTATAAATATATTTTGCTTATATTTTTGCAACTTGATATGCTTACTGTTTTATACTCATGCATATTTCTTTTTAGACTTAAATCCAGTCAATTTTTACAAGCATACCCTGATTTTGGAACCCGTGTGCCGTGTTTTCTTTCTCATTATCATGTTCGCATAGGGTTTCATGGGAACATTTCTGAACCATAGTATCTGAGAGCTCTTACTCTACCCAGTTTAATAGTAATACAACCTTCCTGCAGTGCAGATCTTCCTATGAGTTTTGAAAATCGTGTTGCAGCAGTAGGCATTGCGACACAATTTCAGGAGCATAGTGATGAAGTTCTTAAAATGGTGGACGAAGACACAGATTTTGCAAAGACACAGGTACATTTTTTATAAAGAAATATTAGGATGATATGGACAGTTGTTCTACTACTGTGCCGGTATTATTGGGTACTTTGAAAGTAGTCTTCTGAAAGATTGGTTAAAACTAAGAAGGGATGGAGCTCAAATTTGAGTTGGAACATGGAAGTTGAGCTTGTTCTGACATAATGGAGAAATTAACAGGTTTATCCAAGATACTCCCTTAATCTGGATTTAGTTGTCCACTTCCTAAAAATATTACTTTTAAGAAATGAGTTTCAAATGAGTTTGTCACGCATTCATGTTAACAATGCTCATACCCGATCTCTAGGATATTTTAGACGACTCATCATAAACGAACACATGAAAGGGTACTAGATTTGTTCCAAGATGGTCATTATCTTTTGTCAGTCTGAAACCAGTGGGTATAATGTCTAGTTTGTAGAAGGATGTTATTGAAGAGATGAAGATATAAGGGGACATTTGGTTAAAGTTCGGGTATCGGGCAGGTATCAAGAATGGGGTTGAGAAGGTATTGGGGTTTGTTATGAATTCAGGAATGACTAGGGTATTAGTAACTGATGTTGTCGATTCACAAACTGTATCAGTTGACAAAAGACTTGATTTTCTGTTTACTAAAATCAATTCACAAATAAGTTTTTTTTGTGGAAATTGAATTTTCAATCCTGTTGTTTGACAAGCTAAAAGGTGGTGGCCACCATGACTGGCAGAGGAGAAGGTCCTGTAGAAGTTGAAGCAGCAAATAATGGTGATAAGAACACAGACAGTAGAAAAATTAAAATATCTAGCTGTAGAAGAGGTAAATGATCGAATAGGAAGCCACATGCTAAAAAGTGGTGGCTACCAATGATGGCAGGAAGTCGGATGAACAGGAATAGTGAGTTGGGGATGAAAAGGGAGTATGGTCAAAGTGTCAACCCGAATAGGGTTGGGGGTAAGGGAGTATGGGTTTGGCTGTCAAGAATGAGTTTCGGGGTTCCATTTCAGTAATCAAACAAAGACGCCAATTTGGTAGTATATCCTAAACCCATACCTTATTTTAGAAAATTGAACCAAAATGCTGTTAACTCTATTATCTTTTCTTAAAAGCCATTTAACATTGAGGTTCTGTTCTAAATCAGTGTGTTTAAGGCCTCCCTAGAGC